AATAAAATATACAATATTTATAAAAATATTTTTTTCACTACAAAATTGATACAACTTCCTTTTGTATGCATGAAATTCATGTGCATGCTAAAATATAAACTTTAAAATATTGTAACTTAGTTGTCCACTTGTCGATTACCGGTATCGAGCTAAGGAACACCCTCCTAAGTTAGATTTAGTAGGACACCCTTCTAGTTTAGTGGCGGGCTCTATACATTGGGCTGACCGATAGTAGCCTTCGACGTCCCTCGAGTATAAATATATAGTATCTGAGTCTAGCCCTGACCCGAGTGCTTGCGGTTTTTTCTCTTCGGATTTTTCGTGTGGTTTTATTGGAGCTTTTGGTAAAGCATTCGTGGTCTTTTTCCGGGATCTTCCCGTGTTTTTGATGACTTTCTTTGAGTTTTCTGTCATGGGTCATTTGCCGATTTTCTCGAGTTTTCCGTTGTCGATCATTTGCCACTTTTTCTCGAGTTTTTCAGGTGGTGTTTCTTTTTGTTGCTCACTTTTACTTATACAATGCATGCTAGTTTGTTTCTTAAATTCTGTCACTATACTTATATCTGCTACATCAACCACACTTAAAGGAGCAGCGGACCTCCCAAGTATACATGTTTGTTTTACATTTACAGCGTTTTACTTTACAGCACATCTTACTGTTCTTCTCTACTGTACATTATACTGCTTTCATATACTGCATGCTTTATTGCTTCTATATGTATTGTACTGTTACTGTTTTCCTTTGTTATACCTACTACTATTACTTTTATAGACTATACCTTAGAATAGAAGGCCAGTAGTTGGTTTTATAGGATGTGCCCGGCAACAGATTGTTGACTCAACAATTGCATGTATACTTAAAATTAACATCGAACTCAAATGTGCTACAACGATGAGCTTGGAGCTATCATTGTGAGCAGCAAGACCATCTTCAACAACAGAACATGTTTACACTAGCGAAATCACTCCTTAGAATTAAACACCAAGCCATAGGATTTCGAGGTTGTTCGCATAGTGCGACATAAATCCTCAACTTCTCTTTAGGCCTTTGTACAGCTCTGATGTACAATCTAAGCCCTAACTCGTCTTAGGATTCCGAGGTTGTCGTTCTTTACGGCCTAAATCATCATATCTCTTAGGCTATTTGTGTGAGCGATTCACATGAATGTAAGCCCTAATTAATAAAATTTGCAGAATGAAACACTTAAATATTTCTCCTCTAAACTAAAGTCAAATCATAGGGTAGCTTGGGAAGTCACCGAGGTTCTCCTTCGGATCTATGACATCCCCTAGTTTCTCTTTCTTTGGATTCCATAAAATGTTCCAAATTTGAGTTATTCCTTTTTCACACCACTTTGTCCGATCTCGTTGAAAAGTCATATTCTTTTGACCTCTTTGAAGATAATATTCCCTGATTTTTATTAAGAGTTTACTTAGGTGACTTCAGTCATCTAAGATGTAATTAACTATAAGAGTTTGTCTTTATAGGAAATTTTTCCGAACCCAGCTTAATAAAAACTCTATTTAATTTTTCATATTAAATAGGAGAACTTGTCGACTTATAAATAAAATGAATTTCGCAGATCAAACGAGTGTCATATATTTTTTAGTTTATTTGATCGAGTCTCACTATCAAGTCATGATCTAGTCTTGTGTTTATTTTTCGGGATAAATACGTGACTTGAGGTGTAGGGCTCTTTCATTTAAACTATGAAAGATATGGAATCAGTTTGATTTCATATTTTTCTAAACAAGGACGAGGGAATTTCGATTCCGGCGACAACAGTTTCCAACGGGCAGCTCCTTAACTAAAAATTGTGCCAACAGAAGGGTGTCTAATAGGACGTAAGCGTTAAAATTTTTCATGATTCTTTAATAAAACCCCTTAAAGTTATATTCAAGAGAAAAAGTTAAGGTAATATAAAGTTGACTAACTTCACTGAGATTGTCTTAAAGACATTCGAGATTAGTAAAAGATGTTTTAAATAACACCTGTTTGAGAATCTATGGGAATTCTTAAGGATATAATGAATGAAACTAAGGAAAATATCGAGTTCTTGGTCATTAAAAATAATTGACCTTAAATGACATTTAAACACTTTTTTGTTCACATCGACAAGCAAGTTAATAAGTTAGAAATTTACCCGAGCACTTATTAATTTCATGAGATCTAAACTGAGCTATGAAATTACTTGAGGTCAAGTAATGGAGCAAGTTTGGGGCATTGACATGCGTCAATTTTATGTAATTTAACATGCATTTTGTATTGTATTTTATTTATTATTTTTATCGATTTGTCATTGATTTACACTTAAGAAAGGCTTTTTGTTGATGTTATGCAGGTTGCAGGTTGCAGGTTTGGAATATGAATATTGTGGAACGAGAAAAATTAACGAAGAGATGGCCTAAAGAAGCGTGACCATTCCTATAAGCGATGTGACCAAGCTACCTGATCGAGAGCAGCTGCATGACCATGCTAGAACCCGACATGACCATGCCGTACTTACAGGCCTGCGGCGTGACCACTCCGGAGTAGGGCGTGATCACGCCGCGTAGTTTAGAAACCCGGAAATCATTTTGAAAAGAAATTCCCTTGCCAAATTCATGGATTTTGATATAAATATGATTCCAAGGGCTTCCTTTGGAGGAGGAGACCAGAGACAGCTGAAGGCAGAGAATAGGGAGATTTTGAGTGCTTCCCTTGGGTTTTCTTCTTTGGGTTGAAACTATTGGACTGTTTTTCACCTTGTATTCTTGTGAGTTGTGAGAGAGTTTTGTATGAGAGAGAATTGTTGTTGTTGTGGAGAAGACAAGATTATTGTAAGTGTAACATGTCTTTGTTTCTTACAATGAAACTTTGCATAGTTTTACATGTTATGGTTTTCTCAACAATGTGTGACTAAATTTTTTTTTCATGTCTCTATGATGTAGGGGTAGTAGTTTTCATTGTGATTTTTGAGATGTTTTTCCTCTAGCATTTTTCCTTGCTTTCATGGCCTATGTTGATGGTTAGTCTCCAAACTTCATATAATCACAGTCTAGCCAACTAGAATTTTAAAATCTTTCATGAAGCTATAACATCTAACCGTTGCATAGTGGAAATGAAAAAATTAACTACAAAATTACGAGAGGATAGACATTCAATGGGATTCCGCAATTTTTTTTAGGGGATCGAAACATTAACGCAGAATGTCATGGAAAATGACTCAACTTCATGGATTCTAGCCCTCTTTTGATATAGGCATAGGCATAAGAGGAAATTTATCCCTAATTGACAACAATCACGTTAAAAAAACATTTAGGAAAACCATGAGCACCATGATCCCTGAATAACAGAGGCACGAGCCTCATCACCCTTGAAGGAATTTCCGGGATTTTTCCTATTTTTTCTATTTTCCTGTCTACGATCTACTCTATTTCTGTTAGAATTTAAGGACTTAAACCCCTTATGCAATCACATCAAGCTAGATTCACCAAATTAGTAAACTAAAGATTTTTCTGCAAGAATAATTATTAGTCATTTCCTTGTATGATCGATATTCGGACTCTTAGACCACATACTACTTAACGCGTATATTTGTGTTGCACGACCAACTTACTTCACGATAAGTTTTGGTGCGTCATAATCTACATCCTCTTTATGATCAACAAGAAAGTTATTATTGAACTATAGCAAATTGGAAAGTGAAAATATCCTTATAATATGGGTTACAAAGATTTTCTTCCATGAGAGAAGAGGAGAGAAACAAACCAAGAGCAAGAGAATTTCAATATGCACGGTAGAAGTGCTCCTAAATGTGCCCTCTTCGATAGCCTAAATGTGTAATCTTCCATTGTGTGTTTGTGTGAATGTATTTGGTTATCAATAGTCCTCTACTATATTCATGTATCCCTCCTCCCTTTTTGAAGTGAGTCCTGAGCATATCCTTTACCCTTCGAGGCCAAAAGCTAAGTGACATTATTGCTAGAGAAAGATGACATCTAATGATGGTCGAGAATGTAATCAAGAGTCGTAAGTCATCATATAAGACTAGTTAGCAGCATTATTAGAGATGAAGTGTAGGGGACATATATTGATTTGGCAATGATGATGGAGGATAAATTTTCAGAGGTGCTAAAAGAAAAGATAGTTCAGAAGAAAAATTTTAGCATATCGAGCTGTCCTAAATCATAACCCAAACATGGGCTATTATAGTGTAACACCTTAACCGTTTGCCCACGACTTCTCGTAAAGGAGTGGTTTGAATTACAATAACATCAATATGGGTTGTGTAGGGCTCCAACAAACCAAAGTGAAACAGTTGAGTTTCCAAAAGAAACTACATAAGAGGGTTGGAGGTACACCTAAAATCCTCATTGTTAGGAAGGTAGAGCTCATCCCAAGAATTGCCTTGGAGTCCCCTCTTTGACAAATAGTGAAAGGATCAAGTCTAGCTGTGGTGATAATCGTGTGCAAATAAAAGCCAAGTGTAGAGCTGTAATTGGCCTTTTAAAGACTATTTTAGAGTTCACCGGGAGAGGCATATAAAAATCATCAGTCTCTAAAATTAACCAAATTACGAGCAAGGCATAATAAATGAGCATTTTTTGGATTCTCCTCATCCATCAAAGGGATGATTACTATAGTCAATATGTTATCTTTAATACTGCATTTTGTTTTCTATTTCTAATTTGGCAAAACTATGTAATTGCTTCTTGTTGTCTGAAGAAAAGTCCCATTTTATTTGCTTCTCATAAATCTACATGTGAATTTGAACCGCATGCATGAACTTTTCAATTATATAATTAATTTTAATCATATCCATATAAAAGTTGAATCATCATTTTCATGTTGGCCCAAACCCATGATGAACTCGGTTCCAGAAAAGCACATTTTTTGCTGTCATTGAAAGCTTTCCTTTTCTCGAGACCCATGCTTTGCTTTTAGCTTGTTGATAAAGATAAAAGCAGGCATATGAATGTGCAGTGAAGAGTGGAAAAGCTATAGGGAAGAGATGTACCAAAAACTTTTGTTACAAGCTTCACTGGCCTCATCTCTTCTCCAAATCTGCAGTTCATTTACTTCCGTGTATTAGATTCATTAATCCGTTAAATACCTTTTCCCTGATTAAATTTATATGAGATTACCTTTTAATACCTTCTGATGGAACCTGGAGCCATTCCGCTAGAAAAAATTAAGTAACCGCTTTCAAGGTCAAGTGCAAGTGTTTAACGGAGAGTTCTAATTATTTCATCTAATCAATTTACCAAGATCCTCTATGTTCGGAATTGTGGCTGAAACTGCCACAAAACGGACATTAGCCAGAGGACTAGATGCCATCTCCTTGCTCCGAGAAAGCATCTTTATTCTGCTAACCACTGCTTCTAAAGCAGCCCCACGTGGATCATTAAGCAGGTGAACTTCATCAATTAATACAAGTGAAATATCACTGAAGAAGCTTAACCCGCCATCTCTAACTCCATGGCGAGTAACGGCATCAAATTTCTGTTATAATTAGCAAGTTCAACAAAAAGAGCGGATGAATCAAGCAAAAAAAAACAAAATCAACAAATCTATCCATACAAATAGATATTATTAATGATATATTTTTCTTCACCTCGGGAGTTGTTAAAATGATATCAGCTTCATGAATGTTCTTTGTATTATAAGATTCATTGTCACCAGTCAACTCCAAACACGTAATTCCCAATGTAGAAAGCTTCAAGTTCCAGTTGCGAAGCTTTTCCTGCACCAAGGCCTTTGATGGAGCCATGTAGATCTTATTTGCATTGGCATTACACAACAAAAAAAGAACAAAATCAGCCTTTTGAAAATAACTAAATCTCTTCACCTTTCCTAAAGTATTTATTTATTTAACGCACAAAAAACTTGATTCCAAAGGGTATTTAAGCATCATCATCTTCTTCTTCTTCTCATCATCAATCTTTATGCCAAGTGGTTAACATAATGAATCTTTGTTCTCCATTCATTCACGTCAAATATTGCATGTTATTTTAAATCTAATTAGAGTAAGAACATATCTTCTTGTTCAACTCTTAGTCATTTGAAGGCAACCTTTATTTTCAGCCTCAAGGTCACATTCACTGAAGGTGTACATTTTGCATTAATAAAAAATCAAAATTTACAAGAAGCTATAAAAGCCAAAAACAAAGAAAACACAAAGGAGCTACTAAGTGGTAACTCCACAAAAACTTCTACCCCTTTCTACAAAAAACAAGGGATGACTATCATGGATTTCATTCTTGGGTTTGGCAAGTTTAGCGTATAAATATCAAGGTTGCTTTCGCCTAACTTTAATCGAGTCAAAATTGACTCAAATCAAATTCTCCATTTTATCCAAATTAATCTGATTGAATATTATTCAAATTAACTTGGACCTCTTAGCCACCTGCTTTTGGTGTGGCATCCTAAAATCATTAATTTTACATCTCTTCCCTTCTGGTTCTGTGTCAATAGCTTGAAGCTTATGCCCTTCTTTACAAGTTTGGCCGATATCATATTCTTAAGACCCAATCTAACAAAAATTTGCCTTGTCGCCCTAGCACCTTGATGATAACTCAACATCTTAAAATTGTCACCTTGGCCTACTTCTGATCAACATCTTCTCAGAACCCAACATCCATATGAATTCTAGCTTCTCAACTTTGCCTCCATTTTAGCATTTTGCGGACAACTCAAAATCATAGACATGCGATTAATGCTATCGTCTAGCTAAGTCACCTTCTTGGCTTGGTGGATGGCCAGACACACAAACTAAACTTCCCAAGTTTTAACTTTTGGGGGCTTGTCAGTAGCTTGATACCCCGGAGCTATTAGCCTGTGGCTTTCTACTCAACACTTGCTAACAACTCAGCATCTTAGAGCAACCGAATTGCTAACTCCTCAGCCCAATGTCGACATCCCTTCTTGGCCCTGCCAACATCTTCCATGCCTTCTCACCTTCTTAAAAAGCCTACATTTATTTTTAGTGCCTTCTCAATTATTTGATGGCATGCCTAACAATTACAAATAACTTAGCACACCAGAGGTATTAATTTAGCACCAAATTATCCCCAACTTCTTACCTTCTCAACAACACATCCCCTTGCACCCATTGATAGTTCGACACATTAAAGTTGTCAATTTGGTGTTGCTTATTTCAGTGACCTCACCAACCCCATGGTTTTTCTGAATAAACTCATCAACCCCTTGCCACCTGCGTCCCTCCTTGATGCCAACTCAGCATCCCTCCTTGATGCCAACTCAGCATCCCAGAGCAAACAAAAAAATTGCCTTAGCCAACATCATGACATACATTGTCAATTGTCTTTTGGTCCTTGTTGACCTCAATTTTTTTCGTGAGGTCTAGTCTTCCGTTTAGGGTTTAGGATCTAGCCTTAGGAATCTCCCTTTGACTATCTTAGAACCTTAGAAGTGGGACCCGCCTCGTTTTAGTTCGACCTATTTCCGTCCTCTTTTGGAGTTTCGCGTGTGCGGTATCGACTTCTAACACTTAGAAGATGAAACCGACATGAGGAAACCCAAAATGGATTCCCATAGGACCTTTCCGAGCCTTAGGGTGGCCTTCTGCACAATTCGCACTCATGCGCGCACCGGCTTCGCAATTCGCCTTCTGCCCAATTCGCCCTCCCGCACGCATAAACTTCGCAATTCGGAGAGTCGACGCGTCCGATCGCCACGATTCGCATGTTTGCATTGTTATTCGTCGAGGGCTCGAGTAAACCTTTTGAGACGATTGATCGCGGGTCAATATTTTGTGAAATTTGAATTTCAACGCGTTTTGACTCGATTGTCGACGACGTTGTCCGAGCGACCCCGGATGACGAAAAGGACTGCGCCAACGCGTCCGGAACGTCGATTTTGCCCGAGCAGGACACCCATTTTGTCACGTCGTCGCGCGCGAGTAAATTGTGTTTTAATTAATATATATCTATATATATATATATATTTATATATATACATATATTTATATATATATATTAATTAATCCTTTTAACCCGTTTCCCCTTTCCTCTTTAATCCCTAACACTCCCCTGCGCTCGAGCTCTGTCTCTCGCGACTATTCCGTCCGCGCGTCTGGCCCTTCCCCTTTCTCGGTCTCGAGCCGTGCGAGCTCTTCCTCCTCCACGCGAGGGAAGCGTTGACCTCGTTCGTCCTTCCCTGTTCTTCTTCTGCCCGC